GCATTATATAGAGAGTTTGAGGTCACCTTGAACAATACAGCAAGACCCTGTCTCAAGAAACCAAAAACACCTATGGGGGACAGATAAGCAGACTTGTACAGATGGGTCAAAATGACAGTAGCTTATTTTCTTTATGTAGAAAAGTGGAACTTTCAGTATCTTGTGACAGAAATGTTGGTGAAAAAAACCTAACCTCTTTCTTAAGTGCAAATATTGTTTGACATTGCATTTATGTTTAAAGTAGTTTTTTGATGGAGAGGCGTACTAAGAACTGAACTCATGACCTCATGCTTGCCAGGCAGGCACTGTGCCTATATCCCCTGCCCTGTTTAAAGTGGTTTTTTTTTGCCTGGTGGTACACACCTGTAATCCCAGTACTTGGGAGTCTGAGGGAGGAGAATAACTGAGTTCACAGCCAAGCTGGGCCACATAGTGAATTCAAGGACACCTGGAACTACATAGCAAGGTCCTGTCTTAACCAAAAAGAAAGAAAAAGTATTTTTGTCCCAAAATAGTAATGAAATTCTTTAAAATGATTCCTTGGGACCAGCAAGTGTTCAGTTAATATTTATTAGACCAAACTGGTGTGTGTCCCTCATACTGTATCTGTGTCACATAAGCAGCCGGCACAGGAAGTAGGCAGCATATGATGGAGTAAAGAAAGGAAGGAAGGAGGGAGGGAGGGAGGAACGAGGTTGCATCAGAAAATGATACTTTCTTAGGGATAGCAGATGGATCAGGGTGGCAAGGAAAGGGATAAACCACGGGCAGGAGTGCAAAGGTGCTGCAGAAGAAGCCTGGGTAGAGGAGTGCTTTGCTAGGAGCAGAGAGCTGAGCAGCTTCAGGGGAGAGTTAGGAGATAGGCTCCAGAGGGCTAATGACTAAGGCCACCAAATAAAAGGCTTCTACTGAATCTCTGCAGTCTTAAGACCTGACCATATATGACCATGTGCCACTTCCAGCCCCAAGGCTGCTACTCTCTGTTGCTAGAATTCTTTCATAAGCCACCCACAAATAGGTGTCCCTTGCCTGCTGTGCTCTCTGCCCACACAGGTACTCAACATGCACAGCCCCTCTGGGCCTCCTCATGTCCTTGTCCCCATGCCCAGGCCTTAGTTCTGTTCTTTGTGCTGCCTTAGAACTTCCAGACTGAGTCACATATTTTAGCACTTTCTTACATCTAATCAAGGCTTATTCACTGAACAAATATGTGTTGACTGAGCGAATACTAAATGCCAGGCACTGTACTGCCCTCATAGGGAGGAAGAGACAGACTGTGAGCAGAGTTATTAGAAAGTGCTGTAAAGTAACTGGTGTCAGGAGAGGCCATCTGTGGTAGTGACAATTAAGCTCAGATGTGAAGGCTGAGAAGGTGACGATTTGAGGGCCAGGGAGAGCACATCTGAACAGAAGCAGCAGTGTTACATGAAGATTCCAGGTCCAGAAGGCACTTAGGTTGCCTTAGAAGTCAGAAGGCAACCCCTGGGACTGGGGTCTGTTGGGGTGGAAGAGCAACCTGAAGCGATGGCAGAGAGCTGGGCAGGATCTAGACTATACATTTTAAGTGCAGTGGGGAGGCTCTGAAGGCATGGAGCTTGCAACTGCTGCTGAGGAAGCGCAGCTGGAGGGAAGAAGGAGCAGATGGGAAGCTGCAGGTGAGCGGAGTGGCCAGGGCCAGCTCCAGTCATACTGGAATTGGGCCTGCCTATTCCAGGGTGGCCTCCTCTCCACTAATTACACCCGCCAACAGCCGCGTTCCCAGTATGAGATTACATTCTGAAACCCAAGGATTTGAGGGGACACAACCTGTGACTGTGACTAAGGCAAGGATGTGAGAGATGAGCAGAAGGCCAAGACTTTGACAGTATGTGGCACTGGGATGGCAGAGATCAAGCCAGGAAAGGGAGTGACAGCTAGAGCGGAGAGGTAGGAAGGACTCACATTGGTACCTGGAAAGCGGGGACTGAGCATAGTAGAACATGAGGGTGTGACCAGTGTGGATCGGAGAGCTCAGGTGGTGACACTTGGATGTGACCAGCACAAGCCACACAGGTCTTGCCAAGCGCAGCGTTGGGTGCCTCTGTGTGTGAACTGTGTTCGAGGAAGTTGAGAGTACAATGCATGATGAGGAGGAAGGCAGCTGCCTGCTGCAGGAGGCAGCCTGGGTCAACAGAGAAGAAGGGATAGGTGCGGTTTGGGTTTTTTATTTTATTTGTTATTGTATTCTGCTTTTTTTTCTAAAATGGGAGCTACTAGAGTGTGCTGTGTGCTTGTGTTAGCTACTTTTCTTAGGTCATTATGTTTGTATTATGCACATTTTGTGTTTAGTCTTAGTTGTTCCATGCTTTGGTGTCACTTTCTCAGCTTGGGAGGCCCTTTGTGGATAGGACTGACTGCATTTCTGTTTCTTTTGCATTTGCCCTGTGGTCAGAGCAAGAAAAATACTCTGCTGTGTGCATGTCCCACAGCACCATGCATTTCATTTTATTGATGAACTAAGAGCAATTTTTGTGTATGACATCAGTCATTGAAACTATGTCTCATGTTCCTTGCTGATACACATCACATCAAAGTGCTTGTGTGACACTCTTAAGTTGTTGGATTCTGTTTTGCACAGCATGAGGAAAACAGGGTTCCCACTGGTTAGAAGCCATCTGCTTGGGGTTTGTGAGATTCGATTATTTAGCTGGATAGGAAGGCAAGTCCCAGGGAACCACAGCTGCCTATTCCTAAGACTGGCCTGGAAACAGGAGTATCACTCATCCCAACTTCAGAGCTGTATCACAGCCTCCAGAGATGTCCCAGCCCAGCACCCCTCTCCCGGGCTGACTCACACTCCAACAAGGAAGGACGGGAGAAAAGCAGGTTCTGACACCATTGTATCCTCTGTAATGTCCTTGTCATTCTTTCCTTTCCTAAAGGATATGGCTTTTTAAAAATTGAGCCCATCCCTAGAGACTGCTGTAACCAATCTAGTGCTAATTTGATTGCTTACATGCTAAGATGAGGGAATCTGGGAGCCCTGGAGTGGGAGCCAAGGGGGCACAGGTGACCCAGGCAGATAGTGAGATGGAGGCCTCAGGACTGAGGGTGCATCAGGAATGCCAGAGCAGCCTCTGTGACTCCCAGGTACCTGCGCTAAAGCAGAGGCCCCAGAGAGGGTACGGCCCAGGAGAAGTCTTGACAGCTGTCCTGGCATAGACAATGGGAGATCTTGTAAAGAGCACTGAGGCACCAGGTGCCCCACTGCCAGCAGCAACTCCCTTCTGTGTTAGTACAATACCCAAAAGCATAAACTGCTGACCAGAAAGGGTAATTTTGGCTGACAGTTTTGGACCCTAATCCGTTTGCCTCCATTACTTTGGGTCTGTAGTAAGAAACACATCATAGTGGGAACCCAAGGCCAGGCAAAACTGCTTCTGTCATAGGCTAGGAACAAAAAAAGAAAGAGGCAGGAGCTAGAGTCCCATGGTCACCTGCAAGGGCACAGTGCCAAACAGAATTTCCCTCAAGCTGACACCTCCCAGAGGTCCTCCACCTCCTGACAGCATAATCTGGGAGCCAGGCTTCACTGCATGCTCCTTGGGGGCTTTCAAAATCTAAACTGCAGCGTGGCCCTGATACCCAGACAGCCATTGTGGTCCCCCAGAAGCACTGTGCCAGCTCTGTTGTACATCTGAAAAATCAAAACTTTAGAACAACATGTTTAAGAGTTTTGTGTTTTTAAATGTTATTTATCAATAAAATAAATTGGCATCGAAAGCAAACTTAAAGTAGGGAGGTGGTGGCTGCTTTTGAGCAGAGAGAGCTCAGCTGGAAGATTCAGGCCATTCTAATGTCTCCCTTCCCCTCCTTGAGCCAGCCAGGTGCAGGGGGACCTGGGTGAAGGAGGCCTCTGGGCACAGTGTTGTGTAAAGTGGGAAACTGAACAGAGAAAGTGAAAGTTGAGTTAATGTGGTTGTTACTAACACAGTGCCACAAGTCTGCTTAGAAAAAAACAGGTGCTTATATCTCAAACTTTGAGGTTGATTTTTCTCCAAAATGTATACACATTTAGTCATATAAGTGCTTAGAAAATGAGGTGGGCTCTGTGGTCTCCAGTTTGTTTGTTTGTTTTTTATCGGTATCAGGGATTGAACTCACGACTGCGCGCTTACAAGGCAGGCGCTTATGCCGCTGAGCTAAATCCCCAGGCCCAGTCACCAGTTTTGATTACCAACTACATTTGCAGTTTTTGTCTGTGAGTTAGGTGGTTTCCTTTAGAATGTTCAGCATGTCACTTTGTCTGTCATGTGAAGGGACATCAGTCCTACAGTCAGGACTGGAGTGTTTGTAGAGTTTGCAGTGCAATTCTAGTTGATTCCAAGAGGATTTATTCATGAATAAGGTTCTAATTATAACATTAGAGGATCTTTGTAGAGATTAACTTTTTTGAAGCTAATGATAATGGTGTTTCCTTGGGAGAATATGATATAAATTCTTTAGAAAAGGATCATTGGCATAAGTAAACATGGATTTGATTCCATTATTTTGGCAGTGGGGGCAGTTTGTTTTACATGTTTCTGAAAGTGGAATATTTGTTTTCAAAATTCCTTTGTAAAAATCAAGTGTTCTATAAAGATGTTCAGATCTTCTACTACAAAAGCTGCTCTCTAAAGTGGCAGCCAGCCCATCTGGCTTTAAGGTGATAGCGAGGAACGGTAGATGTGGTTCGCTGTACTGTTCTACAGCTACCCACCTACCTAGCATCCCGCCATCAGCTAACCACAGCCTCCTCTCATGGAGGGCCATGCCAGAGTTATTCCCGGAAAGCCACAGAACTCCACCCTGGGGACCAGGGCTATTCTACATGGGCCTCTGAGGGCATGGAACATCCAACCCACAGCACTGCAAGGGCAGAGACATAGCAGTCCCGTGTTGGAAAGATAGAACTTGCACAAAACCAGTTGCCTGCATTGTTACACACACTGCTAATGGTCCCTTCCACTCTTCTTCTCCAGGGCCCCTGAGATCATCCTGGGTTTACCATTCTGTGAGGCTATTGACATGTGGTCCTTAGGCTGTGTCATTGCAGAGCTGTTCCTGGGCTGGCCATTATATCCAGGAGCTTCAGAATATGATCAGGTGGGTCTAAATGATGAGGGCATTTGCAGCAAGACCTTGTTTTCTGTCTGGAAAATATCCTGGATTAGCATCTCCTTTAGAGCCTGGCCTCTGCATGCTACTACTAACTGTCATTGTTCCCTAAACCTTGTGTTGTTTTTCTTTCTTCTTTCTTTTTCTTTTTACTTTCTTCCCCCATAAAACTGTTGTTTCCACTTTTCTAAAAGCCACGAGAGCCATGCAAAGGTCATATGTACACTGACAGGAAAAGCCCTGACCTCCTTTTTATCTTTTCTTGCAGATTCGGTATATTTCACAAACACAGGGTTTGCCAGCTGAATATTTATTAAGTGCAGGGACAAAGACAACCAGGTTTTTCAACCGTGACACAGACTCGCCATATCCTTTGTGGAGGCTGAAGGTAGGCGGGCGCCCTCCCTCCTTCCATCATCAGTGGCCCAGCACTCTGCTGAGAGGGATGTAGTCCCATTAGTGGGAGCATTCAACTTCAGTGTCTGATCCTGGGTCTCACTTTGATTTTAGGTCAGCAAAAAGCGGGTGTGGGGGTTCAGTTAATGTGTGGTTGAATATGAATGTTAAAGCACCTTTGCTCTTGGCCTGTGGATACCTGAGCAACTCGGGTATCATTAACACTGCCGCAGTCCCCATGTAGAAGCCCCTGGATAGCTGATCTGTGTGAGGAAGGAAATGAACACACCTTGCTCTTGAGGAGCTCACCATCCAGGGACAGACAGGACCCTGATCCGCCCCACCAAGTACCCTCTTCCTGGGGAGGAAAGACCTGGGTGCCAGTAGGAGAGCTAGCTCACCACCACCTGTGGCTGGGTGGCCAGAGAGGAGCATCAGTGCTGGAGCTGTGGGCTGAAGTGGGCTCCCCAGGACAGAAGCTCCAGAAACAGCGTAAGCACCTCAGCATCGCAGGCCCTGGCGAGGTAGGGCAGTGCTGCTCACCTTCTGCCCTCAGGTGGTTGTAGCTTAACAGAAACGTAGTTTGCTTTCATTTGGATCTGTGCCTAGTAATTAAAATTAATGTATTTTTCTAAGAAGGAAAAAATAATGAAAACCTTAAGTTTGTTATTATTCATCGGAGTATTTCTTTTGCAGAAGGGTAGGTGGATGTTGCATTGACAGCCAAATTTTAGTATCTTTAAATTAATCGTGTGGTCAGTAGTTATAACAGACTGAGAAAAGAGATTTGAGAGCCCAGAAGGTATCTTAGGCCCTGGTGGAAGAAACCGTGTTTGGTACCTGCCTGGGTGACACCAAGGTCAGGTTGTCAGTGTCCTCCATGGAGAGGGAAGGCCAGACAGGGGCAAGGCTCACTCCTGTATTTTCCTGAGCATCTTGCGCCATGTGTCCAGCTGTCCTGAGTTAAGCTGCTCAGATGTGCTGTCCTTGAATAAGATTTTGAGGATTAATTACCTCTGATCCATGGACAAATCTGGAAATCCACTAAAATTGGAAACCACAGTTTCACAGCCAACAGAGGCAATGGATGTCTCTGCCAGCCCAGGTGGAGGGGCAGCGGAGCCACTTGTCACCCAAGTGACCTTGATTAGTTTCATAAGCTCCTTGCTTTCCCCACCTAGAAAATGGAGATAGCAATTACCCTTCTTAGTATGATCGTTTAGAGGTGTCAATGAGTTACTGTGCTTTGAAATGGTGTTGTGCACATATGTGTAGAATTATGTTTAGAAGGGTCCATTGAATAAAATAAAACTTTGAAGCTTTGATTTTTCCAAAATGAACTCTTACTTACATATAGGGAAGGCGTCAGAGTGACCAGGGATATGTCTTCCCTTTTTCATCTTAAAATCCACTATAAGTAATGCAATGCAGGCCATAAATATATTCACCAAAGGAAGCAGGGTGAGTTAGTATAGATGAATAGAGAGAGGAATCAGTGTTCAGGTCACTTTAAGAAGAATCAAAGCTGTAGGGTTAGAAAGAGAACCTCAATGAGTCAGTGACCTGTAGCTAAGTCACGTTACCAGTCAGCTTTTGCTTCTCTTGGTAGACACCAGATGACCATGAAGCAGAGACGGGGATTAAGTCAAAAGAAGCAAGAAAGTACATTTTCAACTGTTTAGATGATATGGCTCAGGTAAGTGCCATGGGTGAGCATGCTGTATAAGCCCTTCCAAACTCAAGAGCAGCAAGACCGTGTAAGCTTGACAAAGGGAAGTGGGTAGAATCCTGTTGCCCAACTGTGGATGTCAGCATGGACCTTGCACACTTAAGTGCTAGCCTCAGTAAGAATAAATTGTGAGACATTGTGAAAACCTTAAGCCAGAGCCTTAAAAATAGCTTTGTTTTATTAGTTCCCATTTGTAAGGTAGCATTGGTCAGTTTTGCTGATGTTTTCAGGGGAGAAATTCTAGCCCATTAATATATTTGAGTTTAATGCTGTATTCATTTCCTAGGACTATAGCAGGGTATAGGAAACTGGATAGCTTAAGACAGTAGAATTAAGTTCTGGATTTGAAAGTGTACAACGAAGGCATTTGCAGGCCCTGGGAAGACCGTCCCATCTCTGCCCACCCTGGTAATCCTTGACTATCCTCAGCATTGCCCTCCATGAGGCCTTACTGTGTCTCAGCATTCAGATCTTCTCTCTTAAAGGGTCACTAGTCTTTGGATCTGGGGCCTACCCTAATCCCTTACGATCTCAATTTATTATACCTATAGAGACCTGACTTCCAAGTAGGTCATATTCACAACTACCAGGAATCAGGACTTGAACTTACCTTGTTGAGGGGTAGAGATAGATTTTAAACCACTACATTCAGTCTTTCTTACTCTCTAGCAGGGGACATAGACTGTTACTTTTATGCCCCAGAAAAAATTCTAGAACTTCAGCTACTTTTAGTATAAGAATAGTCTAAAATCAGGGCAACCCAAAGTGCATTTTTTTTTAAAGCAAAGAGAAATATAGCTATACCCTAATAAACACTTAGCACATCTCTTACTGTAGATGAGTGTAACCAAAAATCCTGATTCTGAGTATAGCACACTTGTCAGTTGATTAGTAGCTTAGATTGTCTGAGAAAACCGAAATTGCTTTCCAGGGCATATCTTAGAAAAAAAATAGAAAGCACCACAAAACAAGCCTTTTAAAGGCCATTCTTGTATAGCCTTGCTCTTAAAATATTCCGTGTTCAGATACCCTGTCTGCCTTGGCCAGAGGTGACTGCAGCAAATGCAGAGCTGCAGTAATTCTGGCCTCACTCAGGGAACCAGGAGCAGGGTGACCAACTGTGAATAGAGGAGGAGGGTGCTCAGGTTCCTGCATTTCCCTCAGAGGTTACACAAACCTTCTTCTCATCTTTTCTCTACTGCCTCATTGTGATTTTTTTTAAATTGTAGTAGAGTACACATTGCATAAAATTTACCATCTCACCTTTTTAACATATATGGTAGAATTAAGTTTATGCATATTCTTATACAGCCACGTCTCCAGAACACTTTTTGTCTTATGGTTGTTTTTAAAGAAGTGAAGAGAGCTGCATATCAGCTTGGTCGATGATAGCAGAAACAATTTATAGTCTATGCCAACCACAGCAGCACGTGGGTGGTGCCCTCCACAGGAGCAGAACGCAGCCTCCCGTGTGGCAGGGGAGACTTCAGAGATGAGGAGACATAGGACTGAGGATAAGGGAGCTGGCTTAAGGTGAGACATCTGGGGCCCTTGTCACCTGTCCTGTTTGCTTCCAGGTGAACATGACGGCAGATTTGGAAGGAAGTGACATGCTGGTAGAGAAGGCAGACCGGCGGGAGTTCATCGACCTGTTGAAGAAGATGCTGACCATAGATGCTGATAAGAGAATCACTCCGATTGAAACCCTGAACCACCCCTTTGTCACCATGACACACTTGCTCGATTTTCCCCACAGTACACAGTAGGTGTCCTGCTCAATCCTTTATGCCAGGGGCAGACTTATTCTTTAAAGGCTTTTTGGCTACCTGGTTTCTGTTGCAACTACTTAGCTCTGTCCTATACCAAAAGCGACCAGAGAGGTGATAAATAATGACTGCCTGAGGCTGCATTCCAGTAAAGCATTCATAAAAACTCATGGGGGCTGGGTTGGGGTCCTGGGCTGCAGGTTGCTCTATACCAGAAGGATAGAAAGAGGAGCATGTGGGAGAGCATGAGGCTGGATGGACCGTCAGCCTCTGGTTTTTGTCCATGAAGAGGGGTACCCCAGATGCCCCAAACAGCAGAGCAAAACTAGTGTTAGCACCAAAACTTACTCTTGGAACATCCTGAGGTGGACCCAATCTAGTTTCTAGTTGGGTTTAACCATGTCCTCAGCATGCCATGTGCTGCACCAGGAACAAGCAGAAGGGGTCCTGCCCACTGACCTTGTGGGCTGTAAGAGAGAAAAGGTGTAAGCATGGGGTGCTCTGAGTACAAAGAACAAGTAGCGTGTGTCACTTGGCAGGGCAGGATGACCCTAAGGAAACGAGCCCTAACGGGTGAGGAAGAAAATGGGCATGAGTGGGCAGGGTCTGTGTGGATCTCCAGCCTGGACAGGACTACGCTCCAGACTTGGGGGACACTCAAGTGGGAGGGAGAGGCTCCAAGGCCACAGGAATAGGCCAGGACCAAGCCTTGTGTGATAAGGATGTGGGTCTATATCTAAAGAGCAACAGGAAAACGTTACAGGACTGGTAAGCTGGAGACTGCCTGGCTAGCTGTACGCTGCGCACAGATCTGCTTGCTGGCGCTGCTGCTGCTCAGGTAGTCTGCAAAGGTGTTCACTGCATCTCGCAACCCAGAGGTCGTTGGTAATTTAGTGACAGGTGTTTCAGTGCAGCAGCAGAAGCAGAAGCCCACTTAGCAAGTGGAAAGATCAAGTGAGGGAACTGAAATAGAGTAGTCTTTCAAGAAGTGAGTCCGGGAATAGAGAGAGGGGTGACTAGAAGATGGATTAGAAAAGATTATTTTTTCCATTTTAATGCATTTTATTGGTAGCTTTTAGATAAACAGTGATAACATTCATCATAAAAAATTTGTACCTGCACATGGTAAATCTTGCTTCTTTTTTTTCCTGTTCCCTTCCCCTCCCTTCAGCCCCTTTTCCTGTTTATTTATAAAAGCTTTGTTTCCATTTTTTTCCTCCTTCATTTTTTTTTTCTTGTCCCTTTCCTCCCTCTATTCCTTGTTTGCGGAAGTTTTGGTTTTGTTTTGTTGTGCTTTGCTTTGCTTTTTTTTTTTTTTTTTTTTTGGTACTTGGGATCAATCAAGCTCGTGACTTTGCACTTGCCAGGCAGGTGTTTATGCCACTGAGCTAAATCCCCAGCCTTGTTTTGCCTTTTGAGGGACAGGATCCTGGACTGCTTTCCTGAGAGAGTGAGAGGGGCTGGGTTAGAGCACAGGTGGGAGGATTGGCAGACCGGGGGAACGTGGTTGTCAGCTCTGAGCTGGGTTAATGGGCAAAAGTTGAGAAGAGTACCTGTCAGACAGCTCTATCTGTCCACAGTAGGTAGCAAGGTTCTGTTGAGAAGGTGTCTGGTAGTTTAAGAAAATAGAATGTTTAAGTACCTGCGACTCAAGGTGACAGAGCAAGCTCACCAGAGAAAATGTGGTTGGACTGTTGCTTGCTGAGGTTGAACATGAAGAATTGATAGTATAACTGACCTCCTGTGGTAAAGGTAGAGAGAAAACTGACAGCTGAGTTTGTCCAGGTAGAATTTTTGCCAGGCTGTTAAGAAAAGGCAAACTGATGGAGAAATCAATTTTGCTGCCACTGGAGTGGCTATAATCCAAAGTGGCAGCCATAGCCACAGAGAAAAGAAGTAAAGGGGGGGGGGGTCCGTGTGAACTAGATACCTGGGTCAACTCCCAGGGTAGTTACTGTAGGAACAGTTAAATGAGCCAGATGGGTGGAGACCACGGCCAAGGAACAGAATGCTTGATCTTCTGCTTGTGGGAAGTGAAGTAGTCTGATGTCTGACAGTCCAAGGGAAGAGGTGGCGAGACCGAGAGCAAGATTACAGGGAAGAGAAATCGCTGAGAAGCCAGGGTGTTGGTGAGTATCCACACAGCCTCTGAAGTCTTCCTAGGTGGGCAAGGAATGGCTTAGAGAGGAAGACAGAGGTAGTGCATGATTGAGAGAAGTTTCTGGTGGGTTAAAATACCACTTCCACCCTCTACCTGAGATACCTGGCACATGAAAGAATAAAGAATCATGTCCCTCCACACCTACAGGGACAGTTGTGTACTCAAGAGACCAACAGATTCTCTTAGCCCTAGAAGCAAAGGAAGAGCCTGGAGACCAGAGAGGTCTGGCCCTGCCATGGCCAGAATCAGATTGGGCTGAGTCTCCAGGCTGGACTCAAGCTTACAAGATGCACCCTTCAAGAAGGTAGTAGATGGCACCAACCACTGGGTATTTCCTCTATTTCAGTTCTGTTCCTTTGCAGTCAGTGAAGCAAATCAAATCACATTGCAATAGCAAAGCACTGCCTCCTTAATTCAGAGCTACATTTGAAACAGCCAGTTTCCAGTACAGAAGAATCCAGAGTCATCCCTTCCAAAACAGGATTATGGAATCCATCCTGTTTCTAGTGTGACAGGAGCCTGGAAGGTGGCACTGAAAATGTAGAACTCAGGAAATAGGCTCAGGAGGAGAAAAATGTGCCTTCAAGCACACCAGTACTTACCTAAGACTCGGTCTTGGACCTTGCTGGGGAGGCTGTGGGCCTCCAGGCCACCCTGCTGTGGACTCCACCCTGGGAGCCAAGCCCCAGCTGCCAAGGTGAAAGAAACCCACTCACTTCTTCATACCAGGATTCTAGTGCATTAAGAATGAGTCTTCTAATAAACTAACCTGAAATGAAAGTGCTTACCTCAGCCTGATAATCAAAGCTCAAGCCATTTCCAGTGAGAAAATTCTGAGTCTGCAAACTTTGCTTTGAACTGTCACAAAACCATCAAATGCTGCACATGTACTACAAAAATAATACACAGTGCATGTTTTATGCCTCAAGCCACCACTTGAGAGCACTCACGGTGGCCTCGGTAGAAGCTTCAGACATGTTGGCACTGATGGCATCATTAGCTGCTATTATAAAGAGAGTGTCCTGTCTTCTCTCCAGGACCTGTAAATGTCTATTTAGCATGTATTATGTGACCAGTGTAAGTAGTCATTAACTTAGAAGTAGGATTCCTTAAGTTCTAAGTGTTTTGAAACTTGGAACATACTTTGCATGAAAAGTATGCTTAGGTATAACTTACAAATATCTGTTTAACACACAATACAGTGTACATAGTAGATATTTGTAATCTTAAAATAGTAGCAAAATATTATTCTTAATCATTTACAGTCTCTAATTAAAATACCATTCTGAAGTTGGAAATTCCATGGGATTTGATTCCTTGGATATTAGCATTTGGGGCACAGTGACCATACTGAAGACACAGAACTGAATGAAGAGCAGTGTGGAGACTCTGAAGGACACTTTGTAACAGATTCTCAGGAGCTGGGGTGGGAGGGAGACAGTGTCTCACTATGTAGGCCAGGCTAGCCTTGAACTCATAATCCTCCTGCCTCAGCCTCCATAGTGCTGCGATTACAGGCAAGTACCACCACACCCAGCTTCTATACCACTTTTATAATTAACTAAGGTTTTGTCTTGAGTGGAGGAGTAGAGGAGAAATTTTTACTTTATGTAACTGAGCAAGAATTTAAAAAGCAAGGGTGAAGAGAGAAGGGTGCATGTGTTTATATGTCTATGAAGATTGCTGGTACAGTAATTACCTCAGAGCTGCCCACACTTCAGCCTACCCACAAAACAGGAACAGCAGTCCTATCTCCACCTTGCAGTGCTCTAGAGCTGAGTGAGATGCTGCAAACCCTGTAAATGTTAGCACAGGTCCTGGTTACTGTGAGTTATTGTTGTCATCGGTGTTTTCACTGCATGCTCAGCTCTAGGGAGGAGCCAGAGTGGCCATGGGCTGATGCTGAGGGGGCATTCCATGGCCACCCCTGAGGTGCTGCTGGTGTCATGTCCCTGGGTAGCTGTAAAGTGCACAATTGCCTTTGGGAAAGGCACAAGCAGGAGGCAGGTCCATCTGAGCTGCTGTTTAGCATCCAATCAGAGCTTGTCTATAGGTTATGGGCCAGAACACACACTGAGAGTTGAGACTACAGCAAGGCTGTGGGGGGACCAGCATTGATGGTGGGGAGCACAGAGAGAAGAGTTGGTTCCACAGAACCTTTGCCCACCAGGGGTATTCATCTTTGCCCACCAGTGGGAATTCATCTACAAAACTGTGTTGGTCACAGATACGTAGACCTTACATGAGAAACCCATGAGGTTTACAGAGAAAGAGAAGTGTCACTGGTTATTCTGTATAATGGATTAATCATGTTCTCTTTTTCCTGTGTCTCTGTCTACCTCTCCCTTTTGCATAAACAGTGTCAAATCATGTTTCCAAAACATGGAGATCTGCAAGCGGCGAGTGAATATGTATGACACAGTGAACCAGAGCAAAACCCCTTTCATCACACACGTGGCTCCCAGCACGTCTACCAACCTGACCATGACTTTTAACAACCAGCTGACCACTGTCCACAATCAGGTGAGTGGGGAGCAGATGGGCAGGCAAGGAGGCTGATGGTGTGGGCAGTGGGACTCAGATCCCCCTGACCCAGTCAGGAGGTAAAGTCACTCTCTAAGGAAGAACTTGCTTTTGTGGTTATGACCTTTGGCTAATTCAGGTGCCCTTTGTATGACTGTTGGCCCCACTCAGAAGTCCGATAAAGGACTCCAAAAGGACCTTTCTGCTGTCGTGCCACTTCTGCTCTCCTCTGCCTGATATGGCATTGGGAAGAGGAGATACCTCGAATGCTTTCACGTCTGATGTCTGCCCACTAAGGAACTCCAGAACCAGAAAAGACTTAATGCTCATCCCCTCATCCCCACTACCCTGGGTCCATGTAATCTCCTTCCAGGACAAATAAAACCTGTCCTTTCTCCAGGCCATAGGCAAAGCAGCCCATCAGGCCGTCAGCAGCTAAAACTAGCAGCTAAAACTAAACGGACTAAAAAACTTAGGAGTTTTTCCCCTGAAGATTTTCAGCCTTTGGCAGAAAATTAGGAGAATCCAGAAACTCATTATAATGCTTAAAATATAAAAAATATATATATATTGAACGATAATCTCCAAACTTTTGCTCCAGCTACCTCTAGGATCTAAGATTCATTACTTACTTGATTGTTTATTTATTTATTTTAGTTTTTGAGACAAGATCTCATTGTGTAGTTCAGGCTGTCTTTGTTTTTTTTTTGTTTGTTTTTTTTTTGTTTTTTTATTTAAAGAAAAGGAAACGAAAAAAAAAATACATGGAGATAAAAAAAAAAGGTAGAAATAATACAAAATTACAGACAAACAAAAGGTAAGAAATTGCCAGTTGATAAGTTACAAATTGTCATCTTCGAAATAGCTGTTCAGGTTATAGAATTAAAGTATTTAGAATGACATTCAAAAAAGTGACCCTACAAACCATTCTGCTCTATGATCGATCAAAAGCTCCGTAATATGATTATCAGTCCTACACATTTGTTTTACATCTCAAAGAGGGTAAGATTAACCATATCAAAACAGAACAGAACATTTAAAAAAAAATAAAAAACAATTTAAAGAAATACAGATTTCAAAGCAAGTCCACTGGAGATCTTCATTATCTAACTGTCTCTAGCTTCTTACAAATAGTTGTCCCTATCTCAGGCTGTCTTTGAACTCACTATATGGCCCAAGCTTCCTGGAAACCCATGATGGTCCTCCTGCCTCAGGCTCCTAGGATTTCAAGTGTCTGCCACCATGCCTGTTCTAAGCCTGTTACTCTCATCTTCCAATCTCACAGTTCCCCCAAAGAAGTGCCCCTAGATTTTTCTATATCTATCTATAACAAAAATGCTTATGTTTATACTTATGTAGACACATACATGCACACAGACACACGACCAGCGAGGAGAGGAATATACACCTGAAGCGTGAATATCCGCACCTAGCTCTCTACTTTGTTGTCAGATCCTCACTTGTCACTGAGGAATTACTGACCTCTACTTTTCAGTCACTGTCCCTACCTGTCTTGTCCTGTATTCCAGGGATTTGGGACCAGGAACAGGGTATTTCTTCATGATGGGTGCTAAAGCTGGCAGCTACGAAGCCAGAGGGATCTGCTGCCCCCTGGGGGCCGTTAGTATTATTGACGCTTTCTCTTAAGGCTTAGGGCCAAAGAAAGGAACATTTCCTCCGTATCCTTAGCCCAGACCTAAGGCTAGGATGTCTAGTAAGAGTGAACTTCTGACAACTGTCACCATAGTTTTGTTCGTTACCTCCTGAGCTTTTCCTTCAGTCTTCATGAGACATCTAATACTAACCTGATAATCCAAGACTGCTTATCCCCATCTACCCTGTGTCCACCCCATCCAATACCAAAGGGCCTAGAAATGCAGGGCAGGGTTCTCCTCAGCATGAGTCAGGTCAGGCAAGTCCCCACCAGTCTGTCTGTTCTATGAATGTCTCTACCAAGGTGTAGGACTGCAGTTATGCGCTCCAGACCATGCCAGGGAAAGCCACCTCGATCTTACCTGCGAGATGATACCTAGCACATCCGTTCCAAGAGTGTCTTGAAGACCATGGTTTCTCATCAAAGAGGCAGAACACCCTTCTTCCCCACAGCATTGAGATCTTCCAAATTTGGGAGAGGTTGGGAATTCAGTAAAGTGTTTGGGCCAGAGCACTGGGCAGCAGGAGATGCCACCCTACAAAAGCAAAGAATCTGAGAATCTGATCCCCATTCTCTGGCACTGGATTCTACTGTACCATACTTTTTTTTTTTAATCGGTACCAGGGATCGAACCCACAACTGCCTGCTTGCAAGGCAGGCGTGTATGCTGCTGAGCTAAATCCTCAGCCCCTGTATCCTACTTTTTAATGTATCAGGGAAAGGAATTACTCAGCACTAAGGCCTGCCTTCCTCCTCTGACAATGTCATGAAGTAGTAATACCACTAATAGTGCACAGTTACTGTGTCCTGGGCTCTTCTAAGTATGTCATACTTCTTAATCCTCCAAGTGATGGTGTGAGGTAGGTACTACTATTATTTCCATTTTAGAAGAAAAAACAAGCACAGAGCAATTAAACCTGTTGCTCATGGCTACATTTCTTAGTTCATGCAAGATGGGCTTTGAATCCAGCAGTGTGGTGTACTCTTAAAACACACGCACAAGTACATGGCACCACACAAGTTCCATGAGCTCCTCCATGCCTTTCTTCAGTGACATCTGCTTTCCAAATCCTACAAGATTTCTTATGCATTCTAGTAGCTTGCTTTCTATATTAGCTCCTTGGACCTTTTTTGCCCATTTAAATATTCAGAAGCAATAAAATACGCTTACAGTTTCAACTACATAGTTTATAGGACATTAAACTATATAAACAGTTCCTTGCTCCCTTTAACATCCATGCAGTAGATCCACCAGATGATCTTTTCCCAAGTGGCCACTAATCTATAATACCTTATGTCTCAAGGAGGCTGGGTCAGTGATAACGTAGCCCCCTCTGTCTCCTGAAAGCTAACTTCCCCTACTTTCTAAAACTATTACCCAGGTAGTAACATATTGAATGCAGAGTTCACTATTGGGTATTCTTGATATAATCCAGTGATTATCTAATCTGTCTATAGCATTCTATGATTTGCACCTAGCATTCTTTTTTTCTCTAGACAGAGTCTCACTGTATAGTCAAGGTTGGCCTTGAGCTCATGACAGTCCTCCTGCCTCAGCCTCCCAAGTGCTGGGATTATAAGCATCTGCCACTAAGCCTTGGCTGCACCTAGTCTTCTAAGAATTTTAACTTGTGTTTGTAGGCCAAGCTAAACCCCTTCTTTATGAGTGTCAAACCATTTAAACATCTATTACAACTATGATTCTGCTTGCCAGAATTACTTATCCCTTTTTTTAAAACCCGCATTGCCAGTAAACTTACTTTTTTTTTATTGTCTGTTTGTTAGCACAGAGCTCTTAGTTATCCTCTATGCTCCTCTGGGAAAGATGACAGGCTAGTTACTCTTCCCAGCACCACTGAGGATACAGAGAAGCAGAAAACCAGGACCTTCTCACATGCTTCTTCAGCTAATCCTTAGATTAGAAGCTGGAGGGAACTTGCCTGCATGCTAATAGTTACACTGTGAATAGGGCCCAGGTCAGGACACAGTTTCATTTGTCCTTGAATCTACAAGAGCTGGAGGACTCACCCTCCCAATGAGCTTGTGGTCTCCATAATGAGACAGGCCATAAGCAAACCCAGGTAAATACCAGTGCGGACACAGGGTAACATGAATCCAGAGGATGGGAAGATTTCTTCAGGCTGGAGAGGCCCTTGTGAGAGCCCGGCCGAAGGGGGAATGCTACACTGTACCATGTACAAGTGAGATAAGAGCAGTGGCACCACTGATGAAGTAACAGTGGGAGTAGCCCCGCTGCAGAGCACAGGGATGCAGGCCTAGGCCCTGAAGCATAGGGTCTTGCATAGAACACTGTGGGCCAAAGGATTTATGTGAAACACAAAGCCTGTGCTCACAGTAGGCTTCAAAAACAATGAACAGACTAATCTGCCCTGTACCAAAAGCCTGGAGAGCACAAAGAGGTAAGTTGAGAAGGGATGAGGAACAAGGACACCTAGGCCAAGGTACACAGCCATGCTCACTCTCAGTCCCTGGGAATTGGTTAGCAAGCTGGTCACCCATAGATACTTCTGGAAACAGTGATATGCCCAAGAAATGCTAGAAGAGAAGCAGAGGCCAGGCAGCACTGTTCAGGGACCCAAGGCCGTCCCTAGGAAGCAACAACTGAAAAGAATGGGGGTACCTGCAGCAGCAGGAGCAGTGACTGGCCAGAGAGAGGAGCACCAGCATGAGCTGGAGGACCTAGAGGACACTGGTAGCAGCACCCCGAGCAGGGAGACACTTGGAAGCTGGAACTGGGCTTCAGCATGTAAATCTGAGCAGATTGGGTGCGCATTGGGAAGCCTCTGGGAGAGAGGGCAACATGGGAAAACAGGAAGTGCAGTCCTGACATCAGTGGCAAACACAAGCTTTAATTTCCACCTCTGTATGTGCATGTGCATTGGTCGCCATCATGTCTGGACGCAGACTGTATGAGACACGTTTTCAAATACGTAACTTCAGTCCTAATCGACATGCCACAATATTGTGGTTGTTTTCAAACAAACAGCTTTCCTCTAAAAAATTCAGCACACAATCCTGAGTATAAAGGGCATATGTAAAATGAGACTTGGTCCTTGTTATCAAGCCTAACACATGCACACACTATACTCAGTGTCGTCTTGGTGTGTGTGTGTCCACTTGGCTCTGCCCCTGTGCATTCCTTAGTGTTTATATTTCTCGAGCAAAACCTCTGTTGACAGTGTGCAGCTTGAAACTTGTGCTTGCCTCCACCCATCTTGCTGAAGGATCAGTGTGAGGAAAGCTAAGAAGGGAGAAACTGAAGAATCCCAGTTTAGAATTTGTTTTCCTTCTGGAGCCTTGCTTTGTGTTCTAGTTCAGTGTCAAATGATGTCTCTTTATATGGAGAAAGGAGAAGGGACACCATTGTGATTGTTTGGTACACTTGTCGAACCCACCTGCACAGCAATCCTCTGGATCTCCAGCCCCTCTGTCTTCCACCCCTAGTAACTGAATGCCAGTCTCCATGCCAGGAACTCACACAAGAGAGCCCAGTCTCTGTGAGCCCTGTAACACTTGGGTCTCTAGCTCACATCTCTGCAGTAGCTGGCTCTGCAGTATCTGAGGGTACTGTGAGCAGTGTGGGCCTTCGGCCTGAGCAAGAGAGTTCCTTTCAGGGCCCTGCTAAGCCCAAAGGATTCCAAAGTCCTCAACTCAGACCTGGCCCTCCGGGGTGCTAAGAAGGTATAATTTATCTAAGCAGAGGGGCAGGTGTTTTATCAAATAGTTTCCTAGCTTAACTTTTAACTTTTCGTCATGTACATGTGTAATACACAGGCAACGCTTTGTACTATTGTCTGGGCCCAATAAATGCAAAGAGCAGGCCCAGATATAAGCCTCAAAGGTGGTCTTGTGTCTCCTATGCCTTCCAGTGCCTGCCTTTCAATTGGATTTTTGCTTTTTTGCTCTTGGTTTTTGTTTGTTCTTCTTTGAGTTCATTTATTTGGTTTAGATTCATGTCTCCCAACATACCACCTCCCTCATTTTTTATTTTTGTTTATTTTTGTTCAATCCCCATCATTCCTTTAGGCTCCCACCTCCACCAGTGCCACTATTTCCTTAGCCAATCCCGAGGTCTCCATACTAAACTACCAATCTACACTCTACCAGCCCTCAGCGGCATCCATGGCTGCAGTGGCCCAGCGGAGCATGCCCCTGCAGACAGGAACAGCTCAGATTTGTGCCCGGCCTGACCCCTTCCAGCAAGCGCTCATCGTGTGTCCCCCTGGCTTCCAAGGTAAGCTGACAGAGCTGCTGCTCGCCCGCATCCTGTGGGGCTATCTCAGGGCCTGGCACCTGCCAGCTTCTGGCATGCTCCTTCTGTGGAAGAAAGCCCTCTTTTTTTCCTTCAGTGAGAACTGAGCCTGAGCCAGGGGCTCTTGTCCCACTGTGACCAACCTAGAAACAATAGGACTTGTGCTTCGGCACCAAGTCAATTTGTTGTTCTTCTCACCACCTGCCAGGGATTGTGTCCCTAGCCAGCTGCCTGTAAATAAGCACATTGTCTGTGGCCTATTGTTATGCTGATGTCTGCTCTTGCTTTCCTCACATGAAATACCCTATTGCAGTAATCTATAGAGAGTTGCCAATCTTCCCAACAGCCAAGATAGGCCCAGTTCATGTGGAATAGAAATCTGTCTGGAAAGTAACTTCCAGAGCCTCCTCCCCAAAACAGTTCTTTGGCCATGACCCTAGCATTCTTTTCCTGCAGAGTGACTATACTTTGTGACAACACACACAGCAAGCTGAAGAATTTATTTTTGCAAGCCACATGTGTAAGCATGTGTGCAATTGCTCAGGTTTAGTTACTACAGTTCCAGACAGACTCAGCCTTCCTTACATGGTGTGTGCAGATGTATCTGGATGGTTAGGAGCCCTTTTTTTTTCATTGTAATTTATCAGCATAACCAGCCCTTCTTGGCCATAGAGACTGTAATTTGACCTCCTATCCTTTAAAAACATTGAAGGTTTTGCAGGGAAGGGGCTGTTTTTTAATAGAAAAACTAAAGGGGAAACTTGCTGACACACCAGAAACAAAACCTGGTTGTCAGTTAGGGACTGAGAGACAACAAATGACTCTGCTGGCTGGGAAGGATCTCTTCATCTTGCTGTTTGCCGTCACTCACCCAGCTCCTCTTTCCCTCCTGGTTGTCTGAAATAGGCTTACAAGCCTCTCCCTCCAAGCATGCTGGCTACTCAGTGCGTATGGAAAATGCCGTTCCCATCGTCACACAAGCACCAGGAGCTCAGCCTCTTCAGATCCAGCCAGGTCTGCTTGCTCAGGTAATCCTTTCCTCTGTGACTCACATCACCATCACCCATGTTGATGTCATTCACCAAGGAGCTCTGTCTCCAATAACTTGCTCCCTGGTAATGAGTTAGGAGCTCCCAGTCTTTGGAATATATCTCTAATATTCTAAATGATCCCCCAAGTGAATTGTCTTCCTAAGTATCTGCTTACAATTTCAAGAAGAGATGTAGATACCAAGAGTCTAGGGAAATTAGTATCGGATCTTTGTAATGCAAATTAATCTGAGAGACCTAGGTATTAATCTGAAATCTGCTAGTAATTCTCAGTGACCTAAGGCAAGTCAGTTAACATCTCTTTGCCTCAAATTTGCTCCTTGTAAAATAGAAATGATTTTCTGAAGCCAAAGGAGCCTTGGAGATTATCCTTCCATTTTATAGCTGGAGAACAGGCTCACAGAAGCTGTGCACGGGATCCTCTCTTTCCCCATTGGTATCCCTGAATGGTAGAGTGAAGCCACAGAGATGAAAATGGTTCAAATTTTTTGGGGACAGGAAAGAATCGAACTCAGAACTTCATGCTTACCAGGCAGGTGGTGCACACTGAGGTATATCCCCAGCCCAAATGGTTAAAATTTTGTAAAAAATAATATAAACTGAAGGTACACGTTACCAATAGTAGGAATGAATCCTCGATGACACTTGAACTGTAGTAACAAATGCTTCATTGCTGCACGAGGCACTTTGCAGCTATTAATTTATTTAATAATCCCTGCAACAATCCAGGTGTTTGTCTCCATCTGACAAACAGAGAAACTAAAACTCAGTGATTCTCAAAGACACAGCAAAGAGGTGAAAGAACCAGACCCCAAACCCAAGAGGTCTGAGGCCAGCGCCTGTCTCTCACCCTCCTGCGGTCCTCCTTCCATCTCATCCTTTCTGTAGCAGGCCCTCAAAGACATTTAACCTGGATGTACTTAGTTCAGAAGCACTTTATGTTTAGTAAGTCAGATTCCCAAAGTATTCCCAAAGACATTTTATTTATGGTGGCTTGTTAAATAGAAGTGGTTGTGGTTCTGATCTTTATGTAATCACATTGCGTAGATCTGTTCTTGCCCTTCCTATAGTCAGCTGGCATCTTAATCCTCATAATTTTAGTATATGTCTTGTTATATGATAGAAAAAGCTCTGTTCCCATGTACTTCTTCAATATTTTCTTGTCTTTCATCTCTTCTTTTGCATATGAGTGGTTTTTTTTTTTTTTTTTTTTAATTTGAGATAGGGTGTCACTAAGTCACCTGGGCTGACTGGAACTTGAGTTCCTCCTGCCTCAGCCTCCCAGAATGCTGGGTATAGGCATGTGCCACCACATCTAGCTTCCATATGAATTTTAACTCTTCCATAAAAATGTTAGTTTCAAAACAAAAGGAAAACTGATTATTGTTTATTGGACTCCATTGGATTTATATTTAGGAAAACTGACCTGTTTTAATATCAAGTCATTTTATTCATGAATATAGTATAACTATATTAAATATCATTGATAAAGTTTTCTCTTGTAATAATTCTTATTTTATAATTTTGTTGCTATTAGTTTTAATAGTTACATTTTCTAATTATTGATATGTGGCTTATATGACTATAACTGAGTTTGGTCCATTGGGCTCTTTACATAACAGTCCTTCTTTTTAGTGAATTCTTTTGGATTTGCTATGTAGCCTTTTATATAGATGATATCATTTGGCTTCTTGCTTTCCCATCCTTATATCATATTTTCAATTACTCTGAAATCTCTGGACTGACTACGTCCTCCAAAACCATGTTAAATAACCCTATTCATGTTGGACATCCTTACTTCTACCTAATTTTTTTTTCTTCATCTATTGAAATACTTATGTTATTTGTTCCTTAGTCTGTTTATGTAACAAGTTATATATAATGTAACAAGTTAGTGTAACAAGGTATATTAGCATATTGTATAATCTAAACTATCCTTGTATTTATGAAATAAACTTTATTGAATCATATTATATTTGGTATGATGGTTTACTTCTAAATACTGGATTCAGTTGGTAAATACCATAGTTAGAATTTCACATCTATGTTCATAGATGAGAAATAGGATATAAATTTCCCTTTCTTATAGAACCCTTATTTGATTTGAATACAGGGTTACTCCAGTCTCCCAAAATATATTGGACATAGCACCTCTTCAGGAAAAGCTATGCTCAGCATGAGTCTTTGTCTTTGCTCATGTCCCAATTGCCACTGTGCAAGTGACCACTAACAGCAACACCTGATGGCACGCAAGCTTCTTTTCTGTGAGAAAGTCATCAACAGAGCACTTCTGTATTTAAAGCAGCTATCTTAGGGTGTAGCTCAGCAGCACAGTGCCTTCTTGGTATGTGTGAGGCCGTAAGTTCGTGAGTTCGATTCCCAATACCAAAAAATAAATAAATAAATAAAATAAAGCAGCTCAGTCCCTCCTATCTCATCAGTCCTCATAGCTTCCTTTTGTTGCCTAGTTGGAGTGGGGAGTTCAAAAAGGCCGAGATCAAACAAAAGAACTGCAGCTGTCCAAGGGCAAAGAAGTTTGTTCATATTTTATCTGAATGCCAAAAATCTCTTCTCTGAGACAAAAAAATCTATAGATTCCATGTGCTTTTGACGATAATTACAGGTCTTTTGTTGTGTGTGCACACTTAACCTGAGTAAGCCAGGACCATCACTGAAGGAAATGATAAGCAAGATCTCTTCTTAGCTCAAATAGACTTCATGTGCTGGTTGGTGGAACCAGTGGGCGCAGCATTTCTGAATTTGTTTCAGTTCTTTAATCTTAGCAAGGGAGGGCTCTACCTTAGTTGAGAAAGAATCTCTTAGAGTATGGTAAATCTCCAAGTTGATTTAACCTAAGTCTCTGTCATTGGGGAAGTGAACAAAAATGTGTGTACACAGATTTTAATTGCTACAGTATTTTTAACAGTAAATTGGAAGCAAGTTGGACGCAAGTTCAAGGTTCGTCCTTGATTTAAGTCGGTAGATGAATACATAAAATGGAACACCATCTAGCCATAAAAAAAGATGTGGTAGACCTGCATGTCTTGACATGCAGATTTCTAAGATATATTACTAAGTTTAAAAAAAAAAAAAATCTGACCCTATCCAGTATCACACTATGTCTTTTTGTTTGTTGGTTGCTTTTTCTTTGTCTCTGTGCATTTCACTGCATCCATGCCAGTGTTAGCCTGTTAAGATGGGTTCTCTTCTAGAGGTTTTTAAATGAAGGACAAAAATAAGTCAAGTTACAAAACTCGTATGGTGACTATTTTGTTATAAAGCAGTCATTAAACATTCAAGCTGAATCATCTTTCTATGAGTAAATTTTGAGGTTTCAGGCAGAATCATTCTAAAAACTGCCTTAAATATATCCAAAAACTTGGCATCATACTTTTTGTCTAAATACTTAAAATATTTTCAGGAATTTTACTTGTGGGCCGGGGGTTTAGCTCAATGGAGGAAGTGCCTGCCCTGCAAACACAAGGTTATCAGTTCAATTGCCCAGAACCAAAAAAAAAAAGAATTTTACTTGTGATGGCTTGAGTCTTTGAATAATTAGTTGCATTAATGTTATTATTGTCTTTGCCCTTTTCCTCCACACCCTGTACCTCATGGCAGCTGCACATGTACCCCACAAGGAAGCTGGTCTCTTGGGCTACCCTGAGGGCCTCCGCACGAAGGAAGAGGAGGGAATCCTACCTTCTTTCGGCAGGGACACAGGCTGATGTTCATGGATTGCCTACTAAGAGAAAAGCATGTATGAAGACCTCACTGTGTAGCTTAGACTGCCCTTGAACTCAAGATCCTCTTGCCTCAGCCTTAAAAGTGTGGGGATTACAGACATGTGCCTCAACACCCAGCTAAGAAAACTTTTTCTATACTCCTAAAAGGACCTGCCACCTCTCTCCTTCCATGCCCCAAGCTACCACTGACATCTGCCACCAACAGAAATTGTGAATGAGCAGGCAAAGGCAGAGAGATGGAAAGTACAGTTCCTGACGGAGAAAATACAGTGTGGTTCTTTGGGTCACAGACTTCATTCTGCCCACAGCAAATCAAACTGGACAAGAACCAAATCAAATTCCCCTCTCTGCAACCCCCTTTGACTAGCAAGGCTAGATCTTAAATTCAAAAATGCCAGACCCGGTTTTTCCATGGAATTTTTACAGTCTTTTGTTTCTTTTAGATAGAAGTCTAGCTATGTAGCCAAGCCTGGCTTTGAACTTACGGCAATCCTCTTGCCTCAGCCTCCTTTTATATTCTTCTAGCCAATTGAATTGTTTATCACTTGAATCTCTTTAAATGGTTCTCTGAAGACAAACTTTTACTTTAAAATCTTTACACTGTCCAAAATGCCAAATTTCAGGGCTTCTCGTTTAGAAACCTCTACTGATAACATTTTCAGATCAGTTTTCCCATCAGTGTCTTGCCATTGCCCCTACATGTGTGACTAAGGAAGACTTGACCACACTACTTTACACACTCGCCACACAGGTTTCAGTGCCATAAAGAGAGGCAGGATATTGACTGGGAACATGAAATTACATTGTCTGTCTTCAGGTACCACCTCTGCCACTACTGACTGTGTGATATTAAAGAAAAAAATATTTTTTAACCTTTCTGAGACAGGATTTCATTGTGCAGTTTAGGGTGACTTTGAACTCACCTTGTAGCACAGGCTAACCCTGAATTTACAGAGACCCTCCTACTTCGGCCTCTCGAGTGCTGGGATTACAGGCATGATCTACCATGCCCGGCCAAGAAATTATTCTTGAAATTTAAGTTTTAGGCCAGGGATTTAACTCAGCAGCATAAGTGCCTGCTTGGCAAACACGAGGTAGTGAGTTCAATCCCCAGTACCAAAAAAAAAGAAGAAATTTAAGTTTCATTCTTTTTTGAAGAAATATAGCTACATAGTATTTTTTAAGAGTTAAGGGGCTGGGGATTTAGCTCGGTGGCATAAGAACCTGCCTTGCAAGCAGGCGGTCGTGAGTTCGCTCCCCGGTACTGATAAAAAGATTTAAAAAAAAAAAAAAAAAAAAAAAGAGTTAATACCACAAACTTACAAGAAAACATAATATGAGGGCTGGGGATTTAGCTCAGCGGCATAAGCGCCTGCCTTGCAAGCAGGCAGTCGTGAGTTCGATCCCCGGTACCGATATAAAAAAGGAAAAAGACAAAAAAAAAGAAAACATAATGTGGTATGATTGAAAAAATGCCGTTATTGTTTAAATTTGTAAAAAATGTTTTACACTAAAAGACATATTGCTATTAACCCTCCTCAAAATATTTCCACTCACTTTGAACACCCTTATCCCATTGTTTTCAGCACTTGCAAGTTTGGGAAGTCCTTTTTCAGTTACATGGTCATGGCTCCCTCTATCTCCTGAACTGATTTAAAGCACTTGCCTTCCCTGGTCATTTTGACCTTGGAGAAGAGCAGAAATCACACAGTGCCAGTGAATAGGTGGACACGCTGGCACAGCTTTTTTTTTTGGACAAAAATTGCCGTAAACCTCATAGTTCCCTGCACTTCCCCATTTTTAAATTCTTTCTACTACCTCAAAACAATAATTTTTAACTTGACTGTTCAATCATACTTAATTCCCTATTTCTAAATAACATACCAGACTGGTTTTTATTGATTTTCCATGTTTAATACTGCATTTGACTTCCTTTTATGAAAAATGAAGACTTAGCTCCCTGGCCTCCTCCCAGCCTCATAACATCCACAGTCTGTCCCACTCTTTCCTCTCACCTTCTCTTCCATTCCTCTTAAAATTTTTAATTCAGCCAACTTTGTAGTACTTACAGAGTTATCATCAGTACTACATATATGGGCAACCCTTTTGGGACCCCTCCTGTCTCTCAGGTGCTTTTTCTAGTTCCCATTCCTTTTTTCCAACAAGTATTTTTACTCTTAAAAAAAAAAAAGCTGTGTGTGTTACTCTTAACTGACCTTCTCCTTTTCTTGTACAACTTTGTATTTTTCCTGGCATTAATAGGTCTTGTTTTTAAACTGGATTTGTTTCTGTTTTTATTATGCAGCCCCTAAGCTTTCCAGAGCTATAAAAACGTGTGTGTTTGACATTTTATAGTTGGCATATTGAGTTCAGCATCTGTTCTTTTGCCTGAAACCTTTTAAGATTCTCCTTGTCTACAGTGGTCTCAGATTTCCTGACTTCGTATTTTCCTGTGAAGTCATTTCATCCTATATTGTCCCTGGTACTTTATTTTAAAATTCTTCTTTCAACTCTGGAGATCAAATCTAGAGCCTCAGAAATGTTCAGCAAGGGCCCTACCGCTGAGCTATGCTCCCACTCGTTAGCCTTTTAATCTAGAAGTTTAAAAGTTTTCCTTTGACAGTTTCTTCTCTGTTTTCTGTTTCTTCTCTGTAGAGTTCTTAGAATTTGGGTTTTGGTACGTCTAATTTTTTCTTCAAATTTTCTTACTTTCCCCTACTTTTCTGTATATTTTCTGTCTGTGCTACTTTCTGAGAAATGTCCTCAGTTTTTTTAATCTTTTGAATTGCTCTTTTGTCACAGTTTTGATTTCTGGTTTCTTTCTTGCTCACTGAATTTAGATATTGATTTTTTTTCCTGTATGTGATCTTGTTTCATGAGTATATTTTTTTTTAACTGTGTTTGGACATTAATTATAGATCTTTGGAAATTTTCCTCTAGCTTCTACATTGTTTTTTGTTTCTTCTGAGTGTTTGTTTCAAAATCTCATGCTGGAAGCTTCCTGTATGTCTGCCTGTCTCAACCCACAGTGGCAAACTCCCTAATTCTCAAATGTCATCTTAGTAACTCTTTTCTCTTTAGAGACAGTCACCCTGCCTTCTGCTCGGGGCAGGTGAAAGCCTGCATTCTATAGATCTGGAAACTGAAGGGTTTAATATGCAGGCTCCCATCTGCTAACTCACTTAGTAGTCATATATCTGGTCTCCCACTTCCAAGACTTTGTTAACTGTTAATATCTCTTTGTCCTTATGAATCTATTCATACATTTTAGTTGGGTTTAGAAAAAACCATAAATGTATGTGCCTAATTTGCCATGTTTCTGGGCAAGTTGTTTAACCTCTCTGCATCTCAGTTTATTCATCTGGAGGAAACAGTAGACCCTACCTCACAGAATTGGTGATAGGAAGTCAGAAAATACTTAACTCTGTTCTTGGCACATAATATACACCAAGAAATACTAGCTCGTCCTTAGTGGTGGTAGTAATGTTTAGAAATGTGTGACAAAATCTGAAATGAGTCGAGTGTATCAGTTATGGGAAGAACTCAAACACAGCCTTCTACACTATCCTTGAGGTAAAACATTAATAACTACTTCAAGGAAATAGAAAAAAATGATGACCTTAACTTGATGTTGACATTTTTTAAATGACACTAGTCAAAACTCATGTTTTTCATGAGTTCTGAGGAGTTTCAGATCACTGAGCAGTGGAAATCTGGTTGCCAGTGAACTCGTTATTCATCGAATATTTTTAGTCGACAACTATTTTAACCATTTAAGTTTTTCTGCTTACTGTGAATTCAGTAAAACTAAAATACAGTTAACTATAGTTAATAGACTTGGTAGAATGGCTTGTTTCATTTAATCAATGGGTATTTATTAAACACTTCAATGTGATCTATGGTCTCCAAACTTTCTACCAATATCAAAGCAGATCTATAGCCAAATAGATAATATCAAAAAGTGTGAGATTTCACAGGCTTCATTTGCTGTACGAAGATGACGGACAGGGAAAAGGGAGTAGATCAGTGCTGGGGGTTGAACCCAAGACCCTTGCACTGTGTTACATTCCAGACCCTTTTTCATTTTGAGAGAAAGTCTTGCTGAGTCACTTAGTTGCCTGGGTTAAGCTCAAACTTGTGATCCTCCTACCTCAGCCTCCCAGAGTGTGGAGGTTACAGGTGTGTGCCTCGCATTCACCCATTTTTGTTAAATCCTTGACTTGTAATCCATTTCCAGACATGCTTGTTTATACATATGAGTTGAAACACAGATACTGACACAAGCACAGTATGTGGAGCACTGCGTTAGATGCATTACCTAGTGATAGTCATCTGCAGTCAGATGCAAAGAGAGAACTAAGATATTCAGCCCTATAATCCTTGGTGCCTTAACCTGAGTGATCGTCTTGTAAGTGTGCCACTCTGGGTCTGAATCACTTAATGACTAAAGGCAAGTAGAATAATGATAGAGGGGACAAAAAGTTTAAAATGTCACACACACACAAACAGGGTAGTCTATTCAAGGAGGGATCAATCACAAAAGTTCCTTTCAGATTTCTTAGAGAAATCTTGATACATGAAGGTGGAAGCATTAGCTTCCTATCGTTCTTTCATTTTTGCTTTGAGGAGTAAAAGTAGTTCTCAGGCTGAAGACCCCAGCAAAGAACGCTGCTTCCCACTGCTGACTGTCAGGTATTGGTCACCAGACAGTTACTGATCTCAAACTTGTGTAAACGTAGATTCGAAACATAACACAAGGTGGACTTTAGAGAAGTTTGCTTTTTCTCAGTGCTAGGATAGAACCAAGGCCTTGGCATACTAAGCAAGCTCTGTACCACCAGTGTACATTCACAGCCCCCTGTGGATGCTTATTAAAAGGTAAAGTATCAAGTACACTGGAGAGACAGGAAGCTTCCTGACAGCAAGAAGTTACTTCACTAGTCCAGCTTGCTCCCTTGCACATGCTGTGACAGGAGTCAATAGATGACATTCTTGTTCAGGCTGGCCTGGAACTCACTTTGTAACCCAGGCTGGCCTTGAACTCCTAGCAATCCTGTTGCCTCAGCTTCCCAAATGCTGGGATTACCGATGTGCACCACAACGCCTAGCTCCAATAAATGACATTCTGAAACTTCAAGCATTGCTTGTGAGAGCAGACTCATAAATCATTCTTCAACATGAATTAATCCCTTCCATTGAGTTCTGTGTTCCTATACTTGCTTGGCTTCTATTTAATTCACATAAGTTAATGTTGTCTTCCTTTAGCTTAGTTTCTGAGGAATCCAGAAACCAGATCTCCCTTTTCACAACAATCACAGACTCTGGCACAACTCCAGGCACAGATTTAAGTGCTGGATTCTGCAAATCAATTTGTGATTAGCAAATGTGATGACCCCAAATATCTTCTGTCCTATAGCAGGCCTGGCCAAGTGGTACCCAGCAGATTCTGCTTCCCCCGGCATGGCAGCAGCTGACTGGAGTGGCCACACACACCTCAGTGCAGCATGCGACTGTGATTCCTGAGACCATGGCAGGCACCCAGCAGCTGGCCGACTGGAGGTGAGCAGATTTGGTAGGGTCAGGGATTCCTGGGATGGGAGGCAGATGCACTGCCGATGTGGAGATCATGTGGATCATGATCACACTTATAAGGAGAGGTTATTTTTAAACAGTGTGCCAGGATGGGAGAAAAAGGGTTGTCACCAGTAAAAGAATGCAAAAGAGACTCCCTAAAGCCCTAACCAGTTCTAGAAAGTGCTCCCAGGGTGTCTGGAGACATGGCACCCTGGAGTCTGTCTGGCCTCCCCATGGAAGGCTTGGTAGGCTGAGATTTGTTCAAAATGGCAAGCTGGCACATTGGGTGTGCCTCTGCAGTTACCGGTCGTGTCTCACAGACCTCATCCACCTTCCCCAGATCTCAGAGGCTCTGTCTACAGCCCCCATTTTCCACCCTCCGGTGTACTATTCCTCTGCTGTTTATAGGACTCCACCCACTTCCCTAACTTCCATGGCCGCCTGTCACATTTCCTCAGACCTCTCCCCAATACCATAGTGCCCCCCTCTACCAAGGTAGAAGCAGGTGGAAGACCCCAGGTTGTCTCCCCATCGCCTCTTTGGCTGTCTCTCCTGCAGTGCAAATTCCCCTCTGCCCTCTGACAGTCTCCCTACCACCTTGAGAGCCTCCCACCACTCTTTGTCTCACCCAAAGGGCTGTTGTGAATGAAGAGCTCTCAGGGAAAGGTGGACAGAAGACAGAAGCCCCAGGTAGAGCCTCTACTCCACTTCTCCATCCACCATTTAAGCAAGCACATGAGCTGTGCCCACCAGCCTACATGCTCCCTACACCCAGCCTGTTCTCCAGAAGCACTTTTACCACTTGCTTCATTCCAGCACTGCTTGACCTGGCTTGGGTTACATTCATGGGCCACCTCAGTTTCTTCTTCAGGAAAATGGGGTAATGATGCTTACTTCACAGGGCTGTTGGGTAACTTCACCTAAAACCCAAAGCACTTGGCCTGTATTTAATATGCACCATAGCAGTGCCTGACATGACAGGCAGTAAGTAAGCCTGGCATCTTCCCCTCGCCCATTCACAAAGATTTCTGCTTGGCAAGGTTTTCTCTCCAACTCATTAGGAACGGCAACCAATTGGAAAACTGTCTGACCAGTTGTTTTTCCGCACAACCATTTTTATTCTAAAAGACTACACATGTGCAATATTCCCTTTTTTCCTTTATCTCTCAGCTTTTATAGCGCATTTAATTTCAGCAGTATTCACACATTTGCTCGTTCATGTGTGTTTTCTAGTTCCTCCTCCCTCCTTTATCTTTTCATATCTAACTTGGTAATCATGGACATCTGAAAGCCAAGGCCTCTTTCCCTATCTCTCCATTTCACATGTGGGCCCAAGAGTGTCCGTAATCATGGCTAATATAGGAGATATGTCAATGCCAGGGCTGTTTCAAAGGAAACATGTCTCTACATATCTGTAGAGAAATAGCAAAATAAAGAAGCCACAACGTCAGTGTCTAAAGTATATATAAATGCCTCAAAGACTGTCAAAATCTCCACAAAATATTCACCTGCTTTTATTTTTTTTTCTCTTATCCTTTTCCCCAATTTGCAAAGATAAAATGTGATTATTTTTAAAAATTCAAATGAATTCTCCTTTAACTTTTAACTTTGTTGTGTGTTAAATGGGTTTTTGTGGGCAAATCTCTGAATTAATCACCACTCAACATTTCTGTGGGAAAACAAGACATTGAACTCCATGCAACAAGGACTATCAGAACTTTGAAATGTCACCCATTTTCAGGATGCAGGCTGCCAGTATTTCTCTCAACATGTGCTTCACTGTTATTAATTTTTATTTAATACCAAACTGTACATGTCTACTCAGCCTTCAGTTAATCTAACTGTTCAACAAGCGTGTAATTAACTGATCAGCTGCTACATGTCTGTGTCTTGTGCTAGCCACTGAGGGAATTCAAAAGAACATTAATACTTTCTAACACTGGAAACATATGGCTCCCAATCTGCAAAGTTTGTTGTATACATTAACCAGAATTTCATCATTAATCAAATAATATTATTAAGATCGTATACCCTTCAGAGATCAGAATGAGAGAATCCATTGAAAACACTTTGTAAATTATAAAATAACATATACGTATTATTGTTTGGCAATCCCCCTTTGAAAGATTTTTAAATTGGAGGGAGTATTTATCCCCTTTCTCCAAAACTTAAACACTCTGAGCCTGCACATTGAGCATTCTTCCTCCTTGAAACTCCTCCATCTCCAACCAGCTGGGTTCCTCCCCCTTTTTTAAAACAGCTTAATTTAACTGTATCAGAACGCCTACCTGAGGAGTTTACCTTAGAGGCACTGGACATGATACAGATAGTGAAATGACCCTCACATAAGCTTTTACTTAAGGTAAAGCTTTATCTTATAAGAGCTCTGCTTCTAGAAAACGATAACGAGCCTTGACTTTCCATTTCCCTTTCAGAAATACACATGCTCATGGCAGCCATTACAATCCCATCATGCAGCAGCCTGCACTGTTAACTGGTCATGTGACCCTTCCAGCAGCCCAGCCCTTAAATGTAGGTGTGGCACACGTCATGCGGCAGCAGCCAACCAGCACCACCTCCTCCCGGAAGAGTAAGCAGCACCAGTCATCTGTGAGGTAGGTGGTGAAAACACCTGGAGGACAGGCACTCCAGAGGTTGGAATGTTAAAGAAAGGCAGTAACCTGCAGCATGTCCTGTAGCAGCCATATAGTTCACCCAAGGGCTTGCAGGAAGCCTTCAACCTGAGTTGATCAGGTGGAACCCTGCCTCTTGCTTGGTACCAGCCCTGCATGTACACTACGGGAAAGGACCTGGGGTCATGACATATGTGACACCTTGAGTGCTTCAGTTCCTTTTGTTAAGGAAAAAAATGATTGAGCAATACTTGTTAAAGCACAGGAAGGAAGATTTTATTCAAAACCATGGAGACTGGGACAAGGGTGCTGAATGAACCTTGCAGTAGGGCAGAGAGACTGAGCTCACCTCTGCAGATGGCAAGGCAAGTGGGATTCACAGCCAAGGAGCAGTGTCTGGGTCAGAGAATGGACAAGTACTAAGGGGCTAACCTGACCCAGTAAGATTCTTGCTGAAGGCGGCCATCGTGACTACATGTGGCCTTCTAGCTAAGAGGCGATGTAGAACCTGTTGAAATACCCAGCATGAGCAGACAGCAAGTATGGGGCCCTGGCTAAACTGATCTGAGTAGTGCTGTGCAGTAACAGTAGACTTTACAGGTGCACACATGGGTCTAGGAGAAGGCTCGGAGCCTGACTAAAGTCTGGCCAAAGAATTTTTACCTTCTTTTCTGGAAAATAGTCTCACCTCTGAAATTTCACTGTGGAAACCACTTAACATAATAACTTTTGCAAAAATACTAGAGTTTAGTCTCTAGCACTGTTAATACAAAAAACACAAAAAAATGAAAGCAAAATGCCTAAAGAAATGTACTTCCTTTGAAATTTGAGATCAAAAAGTGAAACTTACTTAGATCCTTGTTTAAATATATAACTTTAATTATTCCCAGATACTAACCAGCAAGGCAGTAAACTTTCCCATTCCTGTTAACTCTAGTCTCATCTCAGTGACTGTATAATCAAGGCTACATGTTCTGCAGGTTCATTTAAATTTCACTTTGGAAAAAGCAAACAGAGTGCAGAGCAGGAGACCAGAGTCCCACAGGAGAGGAAGGGATTGCCTGGGAAGGAGCATAGCAGAACTTCTCCGGTGATGAGAAACTTCCATATCTGGATTGTAGTTGGTATTTTTTACATTTTCCGAAACTTAACAAAGTCTTCAGAAGGAGGCCAGGTGTGGTTATCCACACCTGTAATACCATCACTCTGGGAAGTTTAGCAGGAGAATCAAAAATTTGAACCCAGCCTGAGTAACTTAGTGACTTGGTAAGACCTTGTCTTAAAATAAAAGTTTTAAAAAGCCTAAGATGTAGCTAAGTACGAAAAATTCTGGGTTCAATCTCCAGTACCACCAAAATTTTTTTTAAAAAATTCCCTATTTGGGTATATCTGACAATTCCGGGAAATTCATCTCAGGTCATCTGCAGCGCTACAAAATGCTTTTGTTGAAGCACCTGTGCATTGACGACACACTGTGTCACTTATTGGACTAGGCAGCAACAAAGGCCACAGTCTTGGTCCTCATGTGCTGTCTTTCCCAGCCCCTTAGGCAGGCACACAGAACACTGATCTGACACACAACTGAGCTTGGCAGCCCCATGACCAAGCAGGGGCCCTAAGAACTGTTGGCCTCCCCAAGTCTCTCCCTCCATGTCTTCACAGCATCCAGCTGGCTTGTGCTGATTCCCTGTTGAAGATCGATGTAATTATCACACAGGTTATACATTTTTCTATGTCTTAAGACTGGCTTTTAAAACAGTCTGAGATGGCAGACAAAAGGTGCTGCATTCAAGCCTGCTTTTTCTCTGACAATGCCAAGAGAGAGAGACTGTGCTGGGCAATAAAAACAGCCTCAAAATCATAACACACTAGCAATAACAAACACAAAGGTTTATGATAAGTAGAAACAGTGGGACACTCTTATCCATAAAACTTATTACCAGCCCCCTGAAAGGCATAAACAATGTTTCTGACACCAGTAGATAGAAAATTAAATAAGCCTACCTTCACTGATTTATTTTCATTTTACTGCCATCCCATTAGCTAAAAGATGCCAGAGTCTCTCAGGAGTTTTCCGAGCCTAAGATGCAGTATACATTAGCTCTGCTTTCTCACTGCTTTCTCATCCAGGTACTACCTGGATCCGTGAAGGTTTGATTAGGGGCAAAAGCTATTTTTTTTCTTCTAAACTTACAAGCAATTGCATCGTCTAACTTAATAAAGAACTGTAGTTCAATTCAAACCAAATTAAAAGGCTCTTTTTTAAGCAGGCCTTTTCCTCTGTACTTTCCCCAACTTCTCATTACAATTCAGATAGACTGATGCCCTTCCCCTGATGCCCTGGGGTCAAACCTAGAAAAATCATTTTGCTTTTTTCATTGTATACACACATACTTTCATTGCTGGGCCCTTATCCCAGAGGAAGAGAAAAGAAAACCTGAATCTTGATGTCACCAAGGTTAGGCCCAGTAAATCTAGAAACTCTTAAGAAATAAAAGTTTTCAAGAGAAAACAGCCTGTCTGAGTACTGTCCAGACACTGAAATATAGCATTGTGAGGAGAACAAGAAGGAAGGAAGGAAGTGGGTCTCCTTGACCCAGGAAAAATCTGCAGTGTGAACTGAAACCCAAAGAGAACAAAAAGAAAAACTTTCAGGAAGGAAAAAGCTGATAGTGCCTTTGCCCTAAGACGGGACTCACTGCTCGAGGAGTTGTTCAAACCCGGAGACTCACGGTCATAGTGATGGTGATAGCTGGTAAACTCGGAGGCCTCTGCAGAAAGATGCTGCAGAGGAGGGGAGCAGCGGATGTGGAGAACTACACTGGCTGGTACTGTTGATCCAGGTCTTCCATGACAGATTACAGAAGATATGGTGGCACAATGCCATAGAACCAGAGGCAGGCTGGTGCTGTTGATCCAGGTCTTCCATGACAGATCACAGAAGATATGGTGGCACGATGCCATAGAACCAGAGACTTGGCCAAACAAGCAACAACTTCACATCTCCAACAAACTGAAGAGGTAAGATCTTCCAACAGACTCAAACCCAAAAACCAGCTACACCTGGAAGATACCTCAGAGAAATAGTCATTACTTAAGGGTCCTAAATACTACCAATAAAGCAACCCACCATAGTCAACTTACACTAAAAAAAGAAAGTAAAATGAGAAGACATTTAAGGAAAATGGAACCCAGACATTTAGTTCATCAAAGGCAAATCCAGGGGGCAATGAGGGGGACAATCTGAAAGCCCCCTCCAGGTCTCTCTGAAGTAGTAACCACAAAGCAATTGAATGAAGCTGTGGAAAAGATAAATTCATTAATAATTTCTCAGATAACTACAGAGATTACCAAAATACACACCATGCTTAATGATATTACAGCAGACATTGACAAAAAAGTAGTTAAGCTTAAGCAAACTATAGAAGCTCAGCATAGGAAACAAATGGATTCAGCCAGTTTGCTAGGAAAATAAAAATGCCTTGCAAGTGTTCAAAGCAGAGTAGGCCAATATGAGAACAGGAGATACTGAAGACAGGCTTGCAGTTAGCAACCAGGAAAAGAAAGATTTCTCAAAACAAGCCGGGGACCATGACAAATCAATCCAGCAGCTGCTAGATGAGACAAAGAAGAATAACTGAAGATTAATTGGAATCAATGAACAAGCAAGAGATACCACAACTGACATTTAAAAAAATGTTCAGACATCCTGACATAAAACTTTTGTCATAGAGAAAAAGAATTTGACATACAAATAAGTGAGGCATATAGCACTCTGATTAGCAATGATCAAAAAAGAAAATCTACTACCAGGCATATCATAATCAGCCTTCCAGAAATTCAACACAAAATAGAATCTTAAAAGCTGTTAGAGAAAAGAAACAAATCACGTATAAAGAAAAGCCCATCAGAATCACAGCTGACTTCTCAGCACAAACTCAAATCAAGGAGAACTTGGAGTGAAGTACTCCAAGTTCTAGAGGTAAACAACTTTCAACCCAGAGTGATGTATTCTGCAAAACTATCTCTCAAAATTGATGGAGCAATAAGATACTTCCATGACAAAGACGACCTGAGGAAATTTATGACCACCAACCAGCACTCCAAAATGTTCTGAAGGATATTCTAGAAAGATAATAAAAACTACAGCTCCATGAACCTCAACAGAAGGAATCCACTAGGAAGGCAAACAGAGGAAAGGAGAAAAAAGCGATTTGGAGAGAGCCAGTAACACACGACAAGGATAAGTCAGTACATAAGTCAGTTACAACCATCAATTTTAATGTTCTCAATTCACCAGTCAAAAGACACAGGCTGGCAGAAGGAATCAAGAAATCAGAGCTAACAATATGCTGCATATGAGAAATACATATAATTCAAAAACTCATAGACTAAAAGTCAAAGGATGGAAAATAATTATTCATGTGACAGAAACCCAAAAAAAAGCAGGGATAACTATTCTATTTGCAGACAAAGTGAATTTTAAGCCAAGACTGATTAAGAGAGATAAAGAAGGTCATTACATCCTCATAAAAGGAATAATCGAAGAGGAAGAGATAACAATCATAAATATATAGGCAACAAATACTAGTGCATCCAACTAAATAAAACAATTACAAGTGGACACAAAAAATTAAATAAGCCCTAATACAGCTGAATTGGGAGACCTCAACACGCCACTGTCACAAAAAGACAGATCAACTAGACAAAAAAAATCAATAATGGAATGTTAGAACTAAATCACACTTTTGAACAATTGGACTTACTAGATATCTATAGAGTGTTCTACCCCACATCAAAATATACATTCTTTTCAGCTGCACATAATAGTCTCCAAATTAGACCAAATACTAGTTCATAGGACATGCTTAAGTAAATGCAGAGGAATTAAAATTATCTCATGCATACTACCAGACCACAGTGCAATGAAATTGAAAATCCATACCAAAGGAAACCACAGAAACTTCATAAACACATGGAAACTAAATAGAACCCTACTGAACAACCAATGGGTCACAGGTAAAATTAAAGAAGACATTAGGCAATTCTTATAATGGCAATACAATATACCAAACTTGGGACATAATGAAAGCATTCATAAGAGGGAAATTTATAGCAGTAAATACCCATATAAGGAAAACAGAGCAAGCACATATAAACAACTTAATGATGAACCTCAAACTTCTAGAAAAAGAAGAGCAGGCTAAACCAAAAGCTCATACAAGGGAGGAAATTATAAATATCAGAGCAGAAATTAACACAGTACAGACCAAAAAAAATACACAGAATCAATGAATCAAAGAATTGGTTCTTTGAAAGAGTAAATTAAATTGACAAACCCTTAGCCAACCTCATCAAAAAAGGGAAGAAAAGACGCAAATCCCCTCAATTAGGAATAAAAGGGTGAAATCACAAGAGACCCTGCAGAAATCCAGAAAATCATTTATATCTACTTTGAAAACTTGTATTCTAACAAGATGGAAAATGTAAAAAAAGGACAGATTCCTAGATACATATGAATTGCCAAAGTTGAATCAAGAAGATATAAAAATTTTAACCCAATATCAATAAATGAAATTGAATATATAATTGAAAACCTATCAAAAGAAGGCAAACCTAGGCACTGATGAATTCACTGCTGAATTCTATAAGAAATTTAGAGAAGACCAAACACCACTACTCCTCAAACTCTTTAATGTAATTGAAAGGGAAACAATTCTTCCAAATTCATTGTTGGAATCAAGCATTACCCTGATACCAAAACCAGAGAAAGACCCAACTAAGAATTACAGGTCAATTTCCGTAATGGACATTGATGCAGAAATCCTCAAAAAGGTACTAGCAAACAGACTGCAGCAAATCATCAAAAAGACTGTACACCATGATCAAGTAGGATTCATCCCAGGAATATGAGGATGATTCAGCATACATAAATCCATAAATGTAATGCACCCTATTAACAGTTAAGGAAAAAAATCATATGATTATCTCAATAGATGCACACAAAGCTTTTGACAAAGTCCAGTACCCATTCATGATAAAAAAAAAAAAAAATACAGAAAGTTAGAATAGATGGTACTTATCTCAATGTGATAAAAGCCATGTACTGCAAACCAACCATCAGCAGTATACTAAATGGACAAAAACTGAAAGCTTTCTCTAAAATGAGGTGTTCAGGATGTCCATCTGTCTCCTCTTCTATTCAACAGAGTTCTGGAAACTTTAGCTGGAGCAATTAGGCAAGAGAAAGAAAAGAATAAAGATAGGAAATAAAGAAGTTAAACTACCATTATTTGCAAATGACATTATACTCTACTTAGAAGACCCCAAAAACTCCACCAAAAGACTACTAGATTTAATAAGGAAATTCAGTAACATAGTTGGTTACAAAGTCAGCACTCAAAAATCAATAGCCTTCCTGTACACAAATAATAAATTCACCAAGAGAGAAATCAAGGAAACAGTATCTTTTACAATGGCATCCAAAAAATGAAATACCTCGGAATTGCTCTAACAAAGGATGTAAAAGACCACTACACTGAATACTACAGTACTCTGAAGAAGGAGATTGAAGAAAATATTAGAAAACAGATATCCCATGCTCCTGGTTTAGAAGAACCAATATAGTGAAAATGGCCATACTTCCAAAACTATTATATAGATTCAATGTAATCCCAATCAAAATTGCAATAGCATATCTCATCAGAATTAGAGAAAACAGTTCTAAAATCCATCTGAAACTAGAAGCCACCTAGAATAGCAAAGACAACCCTGGGCAACAAAGACAAGACACAGCCTTACAATCTCTGACTTGAAATTATACTATAAAGCTACTATGGTAAAAACAGTGTGGTACTGGCAAATAAACAGACCCAAAGGTCAATGGATCAGATTAGAAGATGCAGAAACAACTCCAGACACACTGAACCACCATATCTTTGACAGAGATGGCAAACACATTTATTAGAAGAAAGATAACCTCTTTGATTTTTTTTTTATTTTAAAGATAGTCAAATCCAACAAAACAAAGCAGAACAAAGCCGATCAAAGCAAAGCAGCAAAACTGGTACAGAACTTCAAAGCAGGATACCAGGAAAACAAAAATAGTTATCATGGTATATCTTGTTATCTTTGCAGTAGTTGTCCATTCCATCAGGTATAGCAAAATCAAACCAAAAACAAAACAATAAAACCAACCAACAGAATACTGAGTAAAACAAAACAATCAACAAAGCAAAACAGAACAATATAGGCCTTCAAAGACAAAATAGAAGGAAATCCCCCACGATTGCAGTATTGCATACTGTCATCCTCAGATGTTCAGGTCACTGGCCCCAGGCCTGCAAAATCAACTAAACAATACATTTAGTTGCTTTATGTACGTTCGTTGCTGTCAACTCAACCTGTTCTCTGAACCAGCGGCTTGCTTATGGGGGAGGGAGGCAGGTTCCTTAGCCTGCACACTGGTAGTTTCATGGGAGGCACTGACTTTTCTCTTCTAGGAAGCCATACAGCTTACACGGCTTACCAGAAAGGCTAGCTAGTTGGCTTCTCATTGGATGCTCCCAGTTCCAGCACAAAGATACCCTCTTTAATAAATAGTACTGGAAAAACTGGCTCTACACATGCTGAAGATTAAAACTGGACCCATACCTTTCACCATGTACCAAGCTAAAATTGGACTGGGTCAAAGATTTTAATTTTAAAACAGAAACATTAAATCTACTGGAAGACAAGAGTAGATAAAGCTCTTGAAGACATTAGTGTAGGCAAAGACTTTATGAACAAAACCCAGATTGCAGAGGAACTATCACAAAGAAACAACTGGTTCTCACCATACTGAAAAGCTTTTGCACAATAAATCACCAACAGAGTGAAGAAACAACCCACGATGTAGGAGAAAATGTTTGTCAGCTGTTCCTCAAAGGATTACTATTAAGAACATAATCGGTCCTCCCAGATTTAAATACCCAATCCAAATATGGGCATCTGAGATGAATACACATTTCTTAGATAAAGAAATAAAAACAGCGAATAAATACATTTAAAAATGTTCAATAGCACTGGTCATTCAAGAGATATAAATTAAAACAGCACTGAGATTCCACCTTACCCCAAAAAAAGAATGGCTATTGTCAAGAAATCAGCCAAATGTTGGAGGGGCTGTGGGGGTAAAAGGAACCCTTCTCTACTGTTCATGGGGATGCAGACTATTGCAACCACTGTGAAAATCAGTGTAGAGATTCCTCAAAAATCTAGGACAAGAAGTCCCATTTATTCCCCTTCTGAGTATCTTCCCAGTAGAATTAAAAACATCATACCATGGCAATATATGTGCACCCATGATTGTAGCAGAGAATTTGTAATAGCCAGATGCTGGAAACAACCTAAATGTCCGTGGACTGAGGAATGGATTTAAAAAATGTGATATTTTTATATAATGGAGTACTACTCAACCATAAAGAGGAATAAACTTGAGACTTTCTAGGTAAATGGGTGCAACTTGAGACTGTACTTATTAGTGAAATTGTCTCAGTGTGAGAAGCTGAAAGAAACAACATATGTATACGTATATAAAAAATAGTTTAAGATAGTTACACTAGTGATTTCTCTGAGTTCACTGAAGAGAAAGATTTGTACTGGTATTGGACTGTTTTTGTTTTGTTTTGTGATAGCCTTGAGCTTGCCACGCAGGCACTTGTGCCACTGAGCTAAATCCCTTGTACTGGTATTGTTCAGACAATTGAATGCAGATGTCTTGTGCTCTGGATGAATGATTTGGGGATGACAATGCGCAATGTATGTACCATTGTTGCCCCTGATTAACATATTTTGAAATTTTGTTTCTCCTCCTGCTCCTTCTTTCTTTTTGTTTTTCTACCTGAAATAAAATGGATTTGGAAAAACAAAAGAAATAAGGGTTTTCATTTAATGAATGATAAAACAAGCAGTAGCATGAAAACCAAAGAGATAAGGGTTGTAGTTTACTAAATCACAGTTGAACAATCAGCATGGAAACTGAAGCTTTATGTGGCAAACACAAGTTCTGTCATTGTCCCCAGAACATCACATTAGTACCCTCCCTGCATGGAGCCCAGAGAACAGGACCTTCATCCTGAGGATGGGGGCATCCTGTCAGGACTCTTGCCCAGTGAGGTCAGCATCCGGGGGTGGGGAGCCAGGGCCCAGCTGCTGTCCCTGCCTGTGCAGTGACTAACTGAAAGCTCACCCAGTGGCCCCTTCCCCGATGGTGGCTGCGGTCCAATTGGTCTGGGCCTCAGGCATTGTTTTCATGGAGCTTTGGCAAAACTGCCATTTTGTGAGAGCTGGGCTGATTGGAAAGAATTGGCAGCCCACTTTCCTCTGTGAACACGTGTGGTTTTGTCATTGCAGAAATGTCTCCACTTGTGAGGTGTCATCCTCACAGGCTGTCAGCTCCCCACAGCGATCCAAACGTGTCAAGGAAAACACACCCCCACGCTGCGCCATGGCACACAGCAGCCCGGCCTGCAGTGCCTCGGTCACCTGTGGGTGGGGTGACATGGCCTCCAGCACCACCCGGGAGCGGCAGCGGCAGACCATCGTTATCCCCGACACCCCCAGCCCTACGGTCAGCGTCATCACCATCAGCAGCGACACAGATGAGGAGGAAGAGCAGAAACACGCGCCCACCAGGTGAGGACAATACACTGGCAACCTGTGTGTGTCACCGGATCCCTGTCTGAGGCCATGGTCCATGAACCTGAACTGTTTACTTATCAGACATAGTTATCTCTCCCTGCCAGCCCCTAGAGTTTGGATCTACCATTTATTATAGCAAAAACTTATTTCAAAACAATGTCAGCAGAATTGCATATTGCTTAAACCAAAATAATTTGGAAAAAACTTTAGTCTTGAGAAGTAGTGATAGCTGTTTTACAGTTGGAGAATGTGAGACAATAAAAGTCAAGTACACAAACCCAGTGTATTTCAACTTCTGTAAACTCAGAAATATCTGCCTCATGCTATTGAATTTATTCAGTTGGACAGAAGGTTTCTCTAACACTGCTTTGGCTCACTCAGAATTTGGACTAATTGTCCAATTAATCAGAAATTTCCCTGCATCTGATTAACCCAATCTTTCAAACTGCCAGTTGGCTCTTCACCCAGAGAGCATTACTGTTTATTCCTAAGTAGTAATAATTCATTTTGTTCTCTGCGTGCTTCCTGGGCAGAGGGAAGAAATATTTATTATATTTGCAAGACTATTAGCATCAGAGCCTCTTTCTCTATGCTTTGCAGACAGATGCCAACAAAATGTGCTTTCTGCCTGGGTTACTAAACTCAGATGGTGCAACCTAAGGGACCAGAGTCTTTTGTGTCCCAGGGGCCTCTTAGAACCCAAAGTCCCACAAGCCCATGGTGGTGGCACCTGTCCTAAGGGCCAGGGGCCAGAGAAGGAGGCCAGCCACTCCCAAGCCGAAAGCTGCCAGTGTGCAACTGGTGCAAAGCTCAGCATTCACAATTAGTCCCAAATTATTAATTGCTGATTGGATACAGTATAAATAACTAGCAATCACAAGTCCTTTTGATTAGATAATAAAATTCTTATGCTTGGAATCTTCACCAAAGGTTCAGATAGACTGATTAAAACTGTTATTGCAAAGGGCATCCCTTCCCATCTTTATAATGAAGTTCAGGGGTTGTTTTCTGTTTTGCTTTCCTTTGTTTTGCCATTCCACAATAGGCCTAGTGTGTGTCTTACTTAAATATCTGTTCCCATTGAATGGCATAGCCTGATCTTTAGTGTATTTCAGAGAACAGAGGGAGCTTTTCTGGTCCTGCCATTTGCTGGGTACCAGAGGTAACCAGCACATATTTGCAGACTAGGATTGCTTTACTCCCCATTACAGATTCCAGTACCATCTTCACTTCTTTTTTGGTCATAGCCCCAAGCTGACTCAGTATTCCAGCCCTCAGGGTCTCACACCCTCCACCCTAGGAAAACTGTGGGCTCCATGGTCCCTGAACAAGAAGAAAGGTCCTTCCAGCCTCAGACTAGTCCCTGGTCATGAGAAAGAAGCAATAACCTTGCAACACTGAAGGAAAAACAAAAAGCAAAAAATATCTTTAAAATCTAGCTATTCCAATCAACTAGATTGGAATATCCTTTTTGAAGCCTGAGGTTTTGAGTTGACACAGACTCTGGTGGTAAGTGCCCAGGAGAGAATTGAACAGTGTCTCTGAGGACAAGGGCAGCGAGAGCCCTCTTTTCTCTGGTGAGTCAGCAGACAGGGCTGAGAGTGCACACCAAGCTGAACATGTGCCTGCTCCCCAGCAGCCTAAAGCCCCCAGAGAGAAGCTAAACCCAAATGCTGGCAGTTTGTGAGGACCTTAATGTAAACAACTGAGGGCAGGAGGGCAGACACAGCACATGGACAGACAAGTGAGTGCAAGGGACACCCAAAAATCATGACACTGAGCTCTCAGCCCTAGAGTGTTATGCAGTTCAAAGTATATGAGCAAAGTGAATAAAATGTACCAGAGACATCTGTCCGATGACAAGGTGCAGTGAGACCAGAGTAACAGGAAGGGGCCCAGCCATCCAGCATCGTGATGAGCAGCTCACAGACATAATGGTAATGTTTTCTGAAATGCTTTAGGACCCAAGAAGGTAGGAAAATACTTTTGTGTCTGTGAGAGACAAAAGCAGCCAGCAACTGTCTTATGTATAGAGAAATCACTTGTAATTTTGATCACATTATTGTGATTGTATTTAGGAATGAGAAAAAAGTGTAGAAAATAATATGATTACCTGTTCTTAGAAATGAGAATTATCATAAAATGGAACATAGTAAATATTTATTGGTCCTACCAGTGTAAGATATTGTACTGGGTATGGCAGGTGTTACATAAATAAGGGAGACAGTCTGTGTCCCCACAGTAAGACAAAACATTGTAATGCATGGCAGAGCACCAGAGCTACATTCCTAGGCTGAGCAGGAACTTCCTGAGGCCAGCAGTGTAAGCAAATGTGGACAAATAGTAGAGGATGTGGGATTGCAAATCCAAGCAAGGAGACTGATTGTCCACAGCATCAGAGGTGAGGGGACAGGAAGTATCACCTTATCCAGGAGAAAGCAGGTCCCACAGACAAAGGGATCTCAGGGCAGAAAGGGGGCTGATGGGTTTCCTCCTCCATAGGGAAGGTGGGCTGAGGGGCTCAAGTGAAAGCCTCAGTCCTGTGAAACAACGGTATAGACCCTAAGTGTGGCCAGAGAGGGCCATGTGACCACTGTCCATCTGGATAGCTTCCCTTACCCTTCTGGGTTCAGCCGCACAATGGAGTCTTTCCCTCCTAAACGGTAACCATCCTTGTTCCCAACCTGATTTCTCTTGTGCTGCAAGCATCTTGATTCTGATCTTCTGTGTCCCCTCCATCTCATGTTCCATTTGCTACTTATCCCAGTTCTGGCATTTCCAGTTCCCAGTACTAATCTTAGAATTTTGGCCAAAAGACTAGTTAACCCACCTCCTGTGACTCAGCCCCAGCATAGCAGCTGAAGAGTCCAAGGCCAGTGGTACTCACAAGATGAACAGTACCAGTGTGTCTCTTAGCACCAACTTGAGACAAATGATGGAAAACCCACTAAGTCTCCAAGAATAGAGGACATGGCCTAGAATTATTAAAAGAAAACTAAGATACAGTCATTATTCCTGACCCAGTTACGTGGCCAGAGCAAATAGATAGTCACAGCTCTGGCTTTTGAAGAGAATTCCAGAGCACATAGGAGGGAGACCAAGAAGAGGACCTGAAAAGTCGGAACCCTAGCAAACAGTCACCAAGCAAAGGCTACCATTTCTATCCCATATCTATTTGATAGATGAAGAGCTGAGACTACGACAGGCAAGTGACTCACCCAAGAATCTGAGTAGCAAAATTAAGACTCAGGTATCATGCCATTGAAGAAATGGCAAACGTAACACTGGCAAAAATAACTGGTTTCTCTTTAGTTATTAAGACCTATAGGAGATATAGCTCAGTGGCATAAGCACCTGCCTGGCAAGCATGAAGTCTGAGTTCAATCCTCGGTACCGGAAAAAGATTAAAAAAATTAAAATTAAGCTTCAAGAGAAGGGCTGGGTATTTAGCTCAGCGGCATAAGCCCCTGCCTGGCAAGTGTGAGGTCATGAGTTTGATCCCCAGTACCAAAGAAGGAACGAAGGAAGGAAGGAACAAAGGACAGACACAAACAGACAAGACCTGTAGTCCACCTGTAATCCTAGCACTTGGAAACCTAAGGCAGAATGACCAACCTTGCAAGGCCAGCCTGAACTATGTAGTGAGACCTTATCTTGAAAAAAATACAAAATAACAAATTGTGTTCTGTCCCTTCCAGAAACCGCAACTGCACTCTGGTGTTAGCAATGTGTTGTCCAATGTGAGCAAAGAACAGAGCCAGGGCTCTGACAGTCCAGAGTGTTGTGTGTGAGCCTTCCCTGGGTCCCGGGCTCACAACAGAGTCAGCACTTTCAGTTCTTAGCAGAGCTTTAGGAGGTGGGCAGGCATGGGCAGAGCCAGAGGGCTCCTTTCTTTCAGTGAGTCATTGTTGACTGTAGCTAGACAGAAAAAACTAGGCACTTTTTTCTATGCCCTGAGATAAAGTAATAGAAACAGTTTTATTTCAACCGTTTCTTTGACTTTGACTTTGACTCAAGAAGCTTTGGACTTCCACACATACTGAGTAAGGCGTCTCTTCCCACCTGCATTCTTGCAGACACACGTTACACACGTGTCTGCAGACCCTCATGCAAGCCTGGCCTTGTGCCCACACTCTCTCATGGAAGCCGTGGCTACAACTTCCAGGCAGGAAAAGCCTTTTTAGTATGTAACCAAAGCAGTATATTTCGCCCGATCCACTGGAAATCACTTTGTCCAGCTCCGTTACTCATTCACTCACAGTGCGGCAGCTCTGGGAGGCGGGTCAATTTGTTCAGGTCACAGGGCACAGCTGCGTTGGCACTTCATACCACAAGTGCAACAGCCATTCAGATTTACAGCCTGTGTGGCTAAAATGTCAACTGTAAGAAAATTGGTGCATAAATGTCACTCCATTTTTTAGATATAAAAAGTTTACTTGCATTGCTCCTAAAATCTTCGTTTTTTTAAAACAATTGAAACTCAGTGTGGTAAGGCATGCCTGTAACCCAGAGAGGCTGAAGTGGGAAGATCACAAGTTGAAGTTCAACCTGGGTGATTTAGCAAGACCTAGTCTCAGAATTTAAAAACACTAAAAGGGGTTGCAATGTAGCTCGATGTAAGGCTCTGAGCTCAGAGTTCTGGAGCAATACAGAACTGGAGAAAAAATTTTTTACCTACAGTGTTTCCTTCTTTGTATTAAATTGAAAACCTAGAAAAAGTGTTATAGATAAGTTATAGTTAGGAAATTGATAAACTGCTGCTTGAAAGACTGACCTGAGCTGTCTGTGGGGACACAGGACTCTGGGAGACCAAGGCAGGAAGATCACAAGTTGAAACTCAGCCTGCACAACTGACTCAAAATAAAAAATGAAAAGAGGAGGCCAGGCCTCCTGGTGCACATCAATAATCCCAGCAGCCTGGAGGCTGAGGCAGAAAGATTGTCATGAATTTAAGGCCAGCCTGAATTACCTAGCAAGACCATGTCTCAGAAAGC